ACCTTTAAAATGACTTTTTGTAAATCTGAATGAACAAAAGAAGCCAGCAGTTTAGAAGAGCTCACAGGGATAGCAGTCACAATGTGACAAACACACAAACAAGGATAAATAAGGGATCTCGTAATGTATCTCTTCTTCGAATTTTGGGTTTAGTCTTATCCTCAATATGTATATTTTAAAAATGGAGACCTCTTACTACCAATGTGGATGTATTTTAACATGCTTACATAACATGTATACCCCCCATTATATGCAGAAACTTAAAAAAAACTCTTTTGAGGTTTTAAAAGTAAACAGAATAAAAAATATGTACAGCTATTACGTATCAATTAAAAAATACCAAAAAAAAAAAAAAAAGAATAGCTGATTAAGTCCTAAATGATTTCTAGTGAAATGAAAGTTAAAGACAAGTATCAGGAAGCCTTTCTTGATTATTTTTAAAATACTCATAAAATAATATAATCACTGCAATGTTAACAAAAGTAGCATTTTATTTATAAAATACATAAAGTTTCAGACTATGTAAATTTGTAGAAATTCCCACACTCCTTCATGCTGTAGGGTCAGTGTTAGCCACCTGCCCCCAGTGCACCCTGCCCTGTCTCTGGCCTCAGCTCCAGGTGCGGCCACTCCTTAGCTGGGGAGTCCCCTCAAGGAAGCTAACACGGAGGACACGCTCGAAAAGTTAGAGTTAAAATTCAACACATGCCCCTTGAGTACTCACCTATTATGTGCCAAGCACCCTTCCAGGCAATGACAAGCTCCCTCAACAACAGAACTTAGGAACTGTGATGAATAAATGACAAGGACTACAAAGACAGCCCAACAGGGTGATTGGCAGTGGTAGGGAAGGCCTCACTGAGCTGAAAAGGAGATGAAAGGACCTGCCAGTGACAGAGAGGTCGGCGGACAAGGACAACGGTGTGCTAGGGACTGAATTGTGCCCCTGCCAAACCCATCACGCTGGCGTGCTGACCCCCAACGCCACTGTATTTGGAGATGGGGCCTGTAAGACAGTAATAAAGGTTAAGTGAGGTCGTAAGAGCAGGACCTTAATCCAATAGGACTGGTGTCCTTGTGGAAAGAGGAAGAGACCCAGAGCTCTCCCTCTGCGTGATCCAGAGGAAAGGCCACGTGAGGACACAGCATGAGGGTGACTGTCTACAGGCCAGGAAGAGATCCCTCAATGGAAGCCCACCATGCTAGCACCCCGACTGTGAACTCCCAGCCTCCAGAACTGTGGGAAAATGAATGTCTCATTTTCTAAGCCACCCAATCCGTGGTGTTTTGCCATGGTAGCCTTAGCTAAGACACGTATAACCAAAGAAAGTCTCTACGGAGGATCCAGTGAGGCCAGGCCAGGCCAAGGATTTAAAGAGAGGGGATTATGTTGACCCCCCCATCTTGGGGGTGTGGTGCCAGGAGCCCCACAGAAGACAGCTTCACAGAGTCAACTGTGTCACACACCGTCCCTTGCAGAAAAGTGGATTAGACACAAAGAGGGTCACGGGTGACCTTGATAAAAGCAACTTCAGTGAAGTGGTGGAGGAATGGGTTGAAGAGAGAATGGGAGTGAGGACGTGTTGACAGCGACTAATGAGAAGTCTTTTGAAAAACTCTGCTGTGAAAAACAATGTGAAAATGGAGCAGTATCTGGAAGGAACTTTTCAGGGGGGGGGAATACATTAAAGAGAAGCCAGGTATATTATTAAAACACACACACACACATACACACACACACACACATACACACACACACACAGACACACACACAGACACACACACACATACACACATACACACAGACACACACAGACACACACACAGACACACACACACACAGACACACACACACACAGACACACACACAAAAGTACCTGATGGTAAATGGATAAAAAGGCTTATCAAGGCCTAGGCCATATGTGTCAACAGAAAAGAATAATATGATAATAAAAAAGGAACCCTAGAAGATATGCAAGCAGAAAGGAAGTTGCATATAAATAATCACCCTGTAGCAAGTAGAACTATTTCTATAGTATTTAAAGAAGTTTATGATCTCAAAATGTAAAGGCAAGTTGCTATTCTATTATTAAGGCAACAGGTTTGCAATGATACAGATATGCCAAATAACTGACAAGCAGGCCAGAGAAAGAACTCCTGAGAAGAGAATTTTTGGTAGAAAACAACTGCAATGGTGAGTGAGCTAGGAGGATTTGAAGGCATGGAGATAATTTTGTTCTTTCTCAATCTCTCTCAGTCTCTCATTCAATTCTTCTGTCTTTTAAATGTTCCCTCTTAGTTTTTTTTTTTCAAAACTTGTGAGACTAGGAATCATGTGGGTTCTCAATATTTGTTGTTTGAGGGCACATTGTAAAATGGAAGGGGAAAAAATAAATACTGCTATAAGCTACTTGGGAGAGATGCTCTTAAAATATGTCAGAAGGAGGAGGAAAGTAAAAGGATAGAAACAGATAGGATGGGCAAACCAGTTGTGGCAATATTAACATTAGAGCAGACTAAGACAAACTGCGTTAATAACGATAAAGAGGACAAGGACATAAGGATAAATTGAACAATTAACCAGAAGATTATAACGGTGCTGAACCTCCATGTGCCTAACAACAAAACCTTTGGGGCATAACCATGTCGTGTAGTCAGATTGCTTGGGTTGAAGTCCCAGCTCCAGCACTTGCTAGCTGCAGACCTTAGGCAAGTCATTAAACCTCTCTGTGCCTCAGTTTCTTCATATTGAAAATTGGGATACTAATAATACCCACCTCTTAGAGTTGTTGTGATGATTAAATGAGCTAATACACACAGTGATTACAACAGTGCCTGGCATCATAAGCATTGGTATGATTACTGTTGCTGTTGTTGATGCTGTTAGTGTTGTTCCCCAAAACCATACAAAGAAAAAAACAATAGAAATCCTGGGAAAAATTGGCATGTCAACAATCTCAGCAGGAGATTTTTAACTTGCTTCTCTCGCTAAAATAAACGAAAGTTTGACAATGTTTGAGAAAGCTGTGAGATAGCTGCAATAAAATATTTAAACAGGCTGCCTCTTCTTTAAAGTCGTTGCAAAAACAAAACAAATAAAACAATCTACATAACAAAATTGCAAAATAGAAAGAAAAAAGTAAGTAAAAAACAGCAACCAAAGGCCAAAACACTAAGATGAGAGAAGTTAAACAAGGCATAGGCATAAATGTAAATAACTTAAATTAATGTATTACAATACAGAGTCCTTAATCATATCAAAGTATACAATTTAATGGTTTGCTACTTAGAAGAGACACATGTAGAAAGGCAACAGGGTGTTAAAACAAAGAAAATTAGCAAAACATATCAAAAAATAAAAAATATACACATAGTACAGATGACACTGTTATTATGAAGTTAGTTTACAAGATAAAATTATAGATAACGTTGGGCCTTTAGAAGCTGAATGATGCAGCAATAAATTTTTCAAAGTGTACAAAATAATGTTTTGAAACGTTTCCAAATGCACACCAGTCTTTAAGAAAATTAATATTAAATGTATATTCCATAAACTTATAGTGAATACAGTAAATTTTATACATATACAAGGAATATAAAGTAAAATTGATGTCTGTATAAATCTCCGTGTGGGACTCGTTTTCTAAGCTCCAGTTCCGAGAGCGGATCTTACCTGCTTGCTTCTCTGGTTGGCTGGAGCCTTTCTACCTCCCTACTAGCCCCTGCCTGAACGTGCGCGGTAAAGAGGAAGTTCGTGAGCAGACCGTGGACAGGCCTCCTGCTTGGGGGACTCGTAGGACGTTTGACTCACCCAAACCCACAGTAAACACTCAGGAACTTGGTGGGTTTGTTACCAGCTACTCACACACCCAGGGGCGGCCAGGCATGTGGCCAGAGGCTCCTGGATGCTGGGAGAGGGACATAGAGGGTGTAAGAATCTCCTACTAAGCGGCATTATGATTTTTTATTTCAAAATCAGAATACTACTTTGCACCCCATAAATATTAATATGTACATCTATAATTTGCCAATACAAAAAAAAAAAACTTTCAAAAAACTCTCCGACTAATGTAAAAGGGAGTTTCTCTAAGGTCTTGATGGGCTTCTCACTTGATTAGGTGATAGATGGAAGCTGGGTGCATTCATAAGGACTGGAAAACCAGGGCAATGTCACCCCTTACTGAGAACACCACATCCCTTGCCCTGCGTAGATGCGCGTACCTGCAGTCTGAGTCTGTGGGCTCCTTCCCATCTATAACATCACCGTCACCTTGCTGGTCGTAAGTCAGGCCACCGGTACCCTGGACAGTGGGCGACTTGGGCAAAAACAAATCTCCCGACTCAACATCTCGTTTCTCAACTCCAGAGTTTTAGTCCCCATTCCCTGGTGATGCTGGACAACACTGCCAAGGTCTGGACGGAAGGCCATGGAGGTGTCATTCAGAGTGACAGGTGGCAGTGGGGAAGAGCTTCCCTGCTCCCAGAAGAAGCAGGCCAGGGGAGATCAGGACATTTTGATTCTTAGGTGTTGGTGGCCCATTGAGATTCAGCCCACTCTTTGTCCTCTCCTTTTCCTCTTGATGGCTCCAATATTCTCCTTGTCATCTCAGGTCCAGGGCACAAGCTGGGAATCATGTCTGGCCCCTCACCCTCAAGTCTGCCACATCCCAGAGAACGCGTACTTCGCAAGAACACTCCTATTGCTTTCTTGTCAGAACTAGAACTTTGGGCACCAATCTTTTTCAGCTGATTTTTTCCTGTCATTTTATGTTCACATACATGATCTTTTCAGCATACATGCTATGGACACCTTGAATCCTGCTCAATATTGCTTTTGTGCCAAATGGTAAGAAAATAATAATAATAACAGAAAAGAGACAAATTGTTAACATGCTCCTAATGTAGATTATATGTGGATAAGAAATTTGACTGTTACTATTTCAAGATCAATGATTTTAACCTCATTGCTAATAGATTAAAGACATAATGACATACCTCAGGTCATTAGGTGAATTGGTTAATAAAATCTTCCTGCAGTTCTAAAGAACTTTCTCCTCCGAAGTTGGTGACAGCTTCACAGCTAGTCTGGCTGTGCCGTGCCCACTGTTGTTTTCACATGGTATTTCTTCTCTCTCTACTTTCAGGTAGAAATTGAGAAGCTGGATTACCATCATTATCTGCCTCTGTTTTTTGATGGGCTTTGTGAAATGACATTTCCCTATGAGTTTTTTGCTCGGCAAGGAATCCACGACATGCTGGAACACGGGGGGACCAAGATTCTACCTGTCATTCCACAGCTCATTATCCCGATAAAAAGTAAGTGAACAGGTGAAAAAGCATCACTCAGTTTATATGGTGCCACTTTTTGACAACTTGCTAATTAAGCAATAAAACACAACAGACTGAGGCAATCCCCGGGCTTTGTAGGAATTTCTATAAATTGACTTAGGAGGCCAGACAACCTAAATCTCTGAAAATATATCCTATCATCGATATTGCTCTATGGCTTAGCCACATAAATAAACTAAATTGAATGGGGTTTGCGCTAATGTGAAATGTTCGTAGTAATAACATAAGTGCTAACGTGAACGGATGCATCCAGAAGTACTATATATACCCATACTTTGTATATACACGCTGCTAACTTCTAAGATTTTTTAAAAATAGCATCCCTACTTTTTTTTTATTGGAAATAGTTTATTTGCTGTATTGGTTTCCATCCCTGGCTTTATCTATCTATAAAATGAGATTGCACTTCCTCCCTATGGCCAACTTACACACGAGACCCTGCTGACTAGTCTGAAATTGTCCCCTTTCAAATGCCTTTCTGAGGTTTCCCTGTGAGACAGCTCCCATGGCTTAGAATAAGTCCCTTGGTTGCTTTCTTCTCTGTCTTCTTCTCTACCACCAAAGCTGCCAGTGACCTCAGTCATGGAGCCACCTTCATGGGCATGGCCAACGTCGGCAGGTAAAGGCTCAGGAAGAGGAAGGCTCTCCTCCAGCCCAGTGGCAGGCCTGCTTCCTCCCACCTGCCCCTTCTCGTCCTGGTTCTCTTTGATCGGAACTGCCTACCCGCACCGAGCTGCTGCTGCTTCAGCTTTTGCTGTTGCTGCTAATGAAAAGCAGAGGGTTGGCGCCTCGGGGCACTGCCTGGGTGAGCAAAATCCCACCTTTTTCCCAGTCAGATCTCTTCCAGGCGTTTTCACCCCCAGATCCAGGTCCAGCTGCCCCATGGCTTCTGAGGGATGTGGAGGTCCTGCCTGCCCCACCCCAAGTTCTGCCTCAACTCCTACTCTGGGATGAGCCACTTTGCAGGGAGATGGACAGGATGCCTGCCAGTCCCCCAGCATCTGGGGAACCTAGCCACCCTCACCACTCAGGTGTGCTCTGGCCACGTGGTTTGAGAAGAACAAGAACAAAATAATTCATGACTGGATTATTTCTTAGAGTCTAGATCAGGCATCCTCAAACTATAGCCCACAGGCCACATGCGGCCTGCCAGGTGTTTTTGCCACCGCTGCCTGTCCTGCTTAGCAGCCGACTCGTCCCAGGCCCACAGTGCGCATGTGTGGAATGTGCGCCGCACTCTCCAACAGCCCTCCAATGGTCTGAGGGACAGTGAACTGGGCCCCTGTTTAAAAAGTTTGAGGACCCCTGGACTCTAGATCATTTAATCTTATCCATGGTCTCCTTTTATTGATTTGAATTAGCATTATGAGAATGCTAGAATTTTTTTTTTTAATTTCAGTGTATTATAGGGGTACAAATCTTTAGGTTATGTGTACGTTGCCTTGTCCCCCCCCCCCCCCCCCCCCCGCCCCGCCCCATCAGAGCTTCAAGTGTGTCCATCGGAGAATGCTAGATTTTTAAGAGTTCTGCTCTCCCCGCTTACATCAAACCAACTCTGACACTTGTTCTCGAATCTCTGAGATCTCTATAGAAATCTGTAACTGAACATGCCACATTTCCACCAAGACTTAGACGGTGAAACCAAGCACAAGGACAGTGCCATCTGATGTGGAAAGTAACAGGGAAAGAAAGGAGACCCTGGACAAGGGACCTTGTTCAACAGCAGCTTTGCCGTCATCCCCTCAGGCATCAGTGGGGTGGACGGATGATCTTTAAAAGGCCTTCAGGGAGGATATATAGTCCTGAGCCACATTAAAACCTTTTCCAAAAGTGAGTCATTCTCTCCAAAGGGTCACAATTTTTGAATATGTTAAATTCTAGTTGAAATGCTACACTTCTAAAGGATGATATGCAAGTTTCATTGATAAACAAAAAAGGCCCAGAACATTCTCCCCAGGAACTCTCTGTCCTTTTCCCTCCCAGATCCATCAGAATAGCAGCAATCTTTGGGTGCATATTCTTTTCTTAAAAGATCAACGCTTCACATTCCTACCACAGCCTTCCCGGGGTCCCTCCCTCAGAGCCCTGTTGAAGACTCTGAAGGGCAGAAAGAATTGCTAAGTAATATTTTGATTATGCTGTTTACAATTAAAACATACCAAACTCTAATTTTGCAGGCCAAGGTGAAGTGATTCTCAATTTTGTGCTGTCTGTATTTTGAAGATATATAAATGAGTTAAGAGAGAAGTGATGTGTTGTAAGGACAAAATTTACAGTACACACATCCTAGAGGTCATTTGCTGATGAGTGAAAACATTATTAAGAATTCAGTAAACATGATTTGTCAGGGCAAATTAAGTATATATGAATTTGATGATTTAAGCTTCCAGGGCAACGACAATTTATCTTTGGTGGATGCCACTGCTTGGCGTTCAGAGCTTCTGCTGTTGCATACTGATCCCGGGTCTAACTCTGCCTCTTTCTTCTCAATCTGTTTATGCCACTAAAAGCCAGACCTTTCTTAGGAGGAAATGCTGCTTAACTATGCAAGATCATGCGCTGTTCCAGGATAGTGTGAAAAACATTATGTGCATAAGCTAAATCTTTCAGGTGGAATTCTGGAATGAGGCTAACTGATCTAGAAGCAGGCTGATGTGCATAATTGGCATAACATACAACATCTGTGTGTATCTTATTTTCAAGCCATACTCTTAACATTATTTTGACTCTATCCAGGGGCAAAAATTAACCTCACTGTCACCAGTTAGCAGTTCTTGAACAGTTTTTTTTTTTCCAAATTATAATTAGTCTCTATGAAAACAAAGCAAAGTTTATAAACTCACCGTGAGCACCCAAGTTCTGTAGTAGCCCAGATAGTGGGTCTTGGATGCCTCTGCTCCCTCAACGTTGCCTTCTGGCACAGCCACCATTGCTCCCCCTCCTTAACCTCCTTCTTTTGTGATTTCCACCTTCTTGAGTTATTCTAGGTCAGAAAACTCCAAAATAATACCGATATAGAGTGCTCAGGGTTGGTAGCAGAGAATTGATTGCTGGGAGCGACAGCAAGACGTTGTAGAGGAAGATGAGAGCCCCTTTAGCTGTCTGCACTGGGGACTGTGGGTTTACCTTTACTGCATCTGTTTAGGAAAAGACAAACCCATCTCCACCCAGCAGAGCAATACCAGGAGAGAGCGTCTGGAATCTCTGCATGTTAAATTCAGAAGAAGATTCAAGCAGCAGTCAAGAGGGCCGACAGCACCAAGAGCGGCCGGCGAAGTCTGTGTCTGGAGATCTTTCTCCTGGGTGAGAGCTGGGACGAGAACAGCACCACAGCCACAGGGGCCACTGAAAACGGTCTCTGCACACAGGGGAGGAACACCTTGCACGGTCAGAAGGAAAGAACCTCACGACATTTGGTACAGGAACCAGAAGGAACTTGTAGAAACTTGTTTGACATCCGCAGGATTCAGGAAGATACGGCTTCTAAGACACAGAAATCGGAAGCAGAAATCTGTAAGAGGAGACTAGACTCAAACGAAAATAAGCCAAATTTGAGTAGGATAAGGGAAACTAAAAATGCGATGGGAGAGCAAAAGTCTCCGTAGGATTACAGAGGATTACCAATTGCACACCGTCAAATTATAAATGTAGACGACGACCTCAAGAAGTCCTCTCAGAAAAGAGAGATAAAAATGTAAAAATAAGATGAGAAAAGAGATTAAATTCGAGAGCATGGGACAGAAACAGAGATAAAAGTGATGTGTTCCCAGGGGGAAATATCAGAACAACAAGAATAGAAACCATAATGATGACAGAGGTGACGGAAAGAAATTTTCTGGGAGGAAAAATATCCCCTATTATGCAGGTCAAAGAGTCTCACTGCAGTCTAAAGAAAATCAGTGAAAGGAGACATATATCGAGGAGCAATTTGCCAAAAAGTTTAAATTATAATGTAACGAAAAACCTTTCAAACATCTGGATGAGGGGAAAACGCTACCCACTAAGAAGTGAAAATAACTGAGGCTAAGACTTTCTGCGACAGTAAATTCTAGATAACAGAGCACTTTTAAGAGAATTGAGGGAGACACACTACTTCACCCCAGTCCTCTGAGTAGAAAGACTGTGGACTGTGACAGCCACCTGTCCTTCACACGGAGGGTGACTACGGGCTCCTCCAGCTCACAGGGGGCAAAGCACAGTGGAGAACCCCCACGAGAGGATGTCACAGTGTGACAAGCAGCGAGCACTGAAAGCCACTAAACCTAGGGCTAAGTCTAAAGAGTTGATGGAAGAGAGTTTTAAAACTATCTTCCAGGCCAGGCATGGTGGCTCACGCCTGTAATTCTGGCACTCTGAGAGGACGAAGCGGGAGGATCGCTCAAGGTCAGGAGTTCGAAACCAGCCTGAGCAAGAACGAAACCCCGTCTCTACTAAAAATAGAAAGAAATTAATTGGCCAACTAAAAGTATATAGAAAATAGAAAAATATATAGAAAAAATTAGCCAGGCATGGTGGATTAGCCAGGCGCATGCCTGTAGTCCCAGCTACTTGGGAGGCAAAAGGATTGCTTGAGCCCAGGAGTTTGAGGTTGCTGTGAGTTAGGCTGATGCCACGGCACTCTAGCACAGGCAACAGAGTGAGACTCTATCTCAAAAAAAGACTGTCTTCCATCATATGAAATGCCCATTTCATCCATATGAAATCTCAAATAATAATTTTGCAGCAATGACTCTAAAAATCGAGTCTAAATCTTCAATGTCAATGGAGAAGATAAAAGTAAACAGAGTCTGTATATTAAAAGGACAAAAATTGGGTAGAGAGCAAGGAAGTGCTAAGAATCAAAAGCACAAAATAAGATAAAAAAATGTAAAATCAGCTCTATCAGCTATGAAAGTTAACTTTCAAATTTGTAAAAAACAAAATCTAAATATAAACTCTCTATATAAAACAAAATACTACTTAAATGTTTTAAAATAAAAGATATATGGGACAAAGGAAAAAAGAAAGCAGGAGTAGTTATTTTAATCCTAGAAAAGCAGAATTTAATGTAAAGGGGTTTCAAGTATATAGAGAAGATCAATTTATATTGATAAAAATATTCACAATAAGGATTTAATAGTCATGACCCTCTGTGTACTGCATACGATGAAACTACATTTAAGAACTTAACAGCAACTTATACTATAGTTTTTCCCTCTGGAAGAAAAGTAGACTTCTTGACTGAGAGCTAATAAGGTGCTCCACTATCTGACCTTTGGCTCTAAGATACAGGATCGTCACGACCTAGAGTGGGCAGCCTGCCCTCCAAGGCACCACTTCCCAAGTTTCAGGTGTGTCTGTAGACCCCGGTTAAATGCAGGCTCCAGATCAATAGATGCACAAGGACTTGAGATGCTGCTTTTGTAACACACCCTAGTTGATGTTGGTGTCACTGGGCTGTTGATGTCATAAGGCCAGCCAGGGCAAAGGCAATGCTTGGACACCCCAGACCCGACAAGAAAATCTCAGATATGAGAGCAAGTTGGGAGGTGAGTGGGAGGGAAATACATGGGAGATTCATGGTAGATAATTTTGTGCCTTATATTTAAGGAACAGGGAGATGCTATAGCATTCATGTGAATATGTAAGGAAAGAACCTTAGGTTTTGAGGCCTTAAAAGTAACCATTAATGAATTAAAACAGATAGTATATGAAATATGAAAAAAAAAACAACACAAAATGCTATCAGTAAGTCAATATTTTTTTTAAGGAAAGCCAAAGTAGCATGTAAAAAATAAAAATGCAATAAGAGGACAAAAGATAAACCAAATAATCTGTTGTGTCCAGAAGGAAAGGGAGGGCACGATTTACTAATCACAGGTAAAAAGTCGTGGTTTGGGAACTTCAAGAGGCTAGTTTCGATAGGGATTTCCGGTCACCTTGTATCAATAACAACTTAACCCTCCTCCAAAAACATGTCTTCTTTCCCACTTCCTCCTTTCAATATGGTTATATCACAATTTTGGTTAAATCAGTAGTTCATTTTTACACTACTGTGATCACTTAAATACCATTCACTGCAAATCAAACACCTATTATGATCACATGTCTTATACAACTTTTCTTAGCATTGATAATTGCCTCTTGTTTTACATGCTTGATTTCATGCACTTCCTAATTTTCCAAGTATTTCAAAATCTATCGAGAGAATATTATTTTTCAAATGTTAAGGATGCCAGATAATTCTGACTTATCTGATTTTAAGTGGATCATTTTTCTTTTCTTTTCTGGAGACATTCTCTCTTCCACCCTCCACCCATCTGCTCAAAGCTGGACCACGTGTGCTCTCAGCCTGACACTTCTGTTTCTCCTCTGTTATATTTAACCTCCTTTCCTTAACTGTTTGTCTTGCTTAGCTCATCATTGTTAATAGTGCACATCTCCTAATAATTTCCTGGAATTATATTTAATGTGCATTTTTTAACCCTTCTGTATCTGAAAATTGTAGCATAGCATCAAACTTGATTACTAGTTTACCTATGTGGAAAGTCATTTTCATTCAGCATTTGGAGGTCACGTCTCTGTTGCCTCCCAAGTTCTTATGTTGCTTTGAAAATGTTGATGCCATGTGAATTTTAAGTCATTTGCCTGTTGCCCACAATCTCTGAAAGTTTTTGGATCTTCTCTTTATCTTTGGTGATGTAAGATTTTATGTTTTTTTTTTGTTTTTTTTTTGAGACAGAGTCTCACTTTGTTACCCAGGCTAGAGTGAGTGCCATAGAGTCAGCCTGGCTCACAGCAACCTCAAACTCCTGGGCTCAAGGATCCTTCTGCCTCAGCCTCCCGAGTAGCTGGGACTACAGGCATGCGCCACCATGCCCGGCTAATTTTTTCTCTATATATATTAGTTGGCCAACTAATTTCTTTCTATTTATAGTAGAGATGGGGTCTCGCTCTTGCTCAGGTTGGTTTCGAACTCCTGAACTCAAATGATCCACCCGCCTTGGCCTCCCAGAGAGCCAGGATTACAGGCGTGAGCCTCTGGGCCCAGCCGATATGTTTTTGATGTGGTTATTTTTTCATCAATTTTCCTGGGAAATTTCAATGTATAGACATACATCTAAACTTTTCATACATTATTTCTTTAATGAAATTCTTCCTCTGTTTTCTCTTACCTTTCTGATGTAATTCCCTGCTAGTAATCTTTTATTATACCTTATTAATTGATTCTCTAAGTTCTTTATCTCTTTGTTCATATTTTTCAACTGTCTCTTAGTTTTAATTCCTGAGGAATGTCCTTGACTTTATCTTACAAAAATCTGAACATTTTATTTTAGTTGTTATTAATATAATTTTCCTTTCTTCTGACTCTTCCTTTTTAATAGTATTTGGTTCTTTTATGTTTATTCTCTTATCTCTTTAAATGTTTATTATAGATTTATAGGGCTATTCTTTCTTTTGGGGGGGGAGATATTTTGGCTACCTGCCTTATAACTGACTTTCACTCATTCAGTAAAAATGAATTTTCCCTTTGCTGGTATTTAAGACTTTCTTTATCCTACATGTAGATAGGCAGGATAACATACTGGTTAAGAGCATAGACTGGAATCAGAGTGCCTAGCTAGGAATCCTGTCTGCACCATACAATAGCTATATGACCTGAAGCAAGTTACTTTACCCCATGCAAGGCCAGTGCCTCACCTATAAAATGGAGATAGCATATCCATTTATATTTTTTCCTCATTTATTAAGTCATCCAGTAGTTTCTATATTGTATATATTTTTTAAGTCTTACTTCATTCATCAGCTTTATTTAATGTTATGATTTATAAATGTTTTTGGTTTTGATGCAGATTTATCTGTTTTCCTTAAGCTTTTTGTTTTGCTTTTGTAGCTTCTTCAGTTAAATGTGTATTACCTTTGTTTTCATTGTTCTTCATTTGGTAATAGTAGCATGTAAGGCTAGCACTTTTGTTCTCCATACACCTTTAGCTTCATTCCATTAATTTTGATCAGTATGTTTTTTTTCCTTGCAACTATAAGTATTTTGTTTTTGTAGTTTTGATTTATTCCTTGATCAAAGGTACTGCATTAAAATTTCTGAATATTCAGAGATTTAGTTTTTATTGTTATTTAATTTATTATTTTGTGACAAGAGAATGTGGCCTTCTCTCTAATTACTTTCTTTTTCTGGAATATACTGAGATGTTCATTAAGCTCTAAGAAATGTTCAATTATTACCATCATTCTGTGGAAGATATAAAGAAAGTACATCCTCTACATGATATAGATTTTAATATATATTTATCATATCAAATTTACTGATAATATTATTCAAATAATTTATATATTATTTTCTTTTTCACAATTGGTTAGGTCAAAGACTGAGAAACTATGTTTAAGTTTCCCACCATAATGGCAACAAAGCCACCTCAACTGATTATCAGTCTTGAAAGTTGCTAATGAGCTAAGAGCTTCCTGGAATCATAGCAGTCAATTCTCATAGCAATCCTTGGAAGCAGGTACTACAATCCCCATTTCTTAGTGATAAAACTGAGGCATATAAAATTTAAGAAACATTTCCATGTCACATAGTTACCAAATGGCAGAGTCAGTATTTGAACCATATCTGAGCCTTCTGAGCTGCTTTTGTTCTTTACCAAAACTCAATGCTGCATCTACTTCTGCAAATCACATTTTTCCCTAAGTACATAAAGAATGTTTATTACAAAAATTAACCATGTCCTAGGACATAAAAGAAATCTCAAATATGTCAAGGATGGAAGTCATATAAAGCATGTTATATGATCAAAATGTAATTTATGCTAGAAGTCAATTTTTAAAGCAATAACTGAAATAGACTCATCTGTTTTAAAATTAAGACATATATTTCTAAATAGTCCATGGATCAAATAAGAAATCATAAATTAAATTAGAAAGTATTTTAACTGCACAATAAGAAAACTATTACACAATAAGAAACTGCACAATAAGAAAACTATAAAATTACATATTAAAAATTTAAAAAATATTTCATACAAAGGTTACCAAAAATCACATTAAAATGTTTGCTACATTTCATATGGTGAAACATTAGAGAAAATATATGTCCTTAAAGTTGGCTTCAAAAAGGAAAACAGGGAGAAAATAGTAAACTAAATACCTGCTCAGTTGTAGAAAGAACCGCAAAAGAAAGCTAAAGTAAGAATAAATATTAAGTTAAAATCATAATACAAAAAAATGGAAAATAATTATGCAACTGAGAGAATCAAATATTGCTTTCTTGAAATTACTAATAAAATTGATAAATATTTTGAAAACTTGAAATAGAAATAGAAAATGAGAGAAGGCAGAAACAACTAATATCAGAAATGAAAAAGGGAATGTCACATAAATCCTACAGACATTGAAAATATCATGATAGTATATTATGATCAGCTTTATCCCCAAAGCTTTGAAGTTTTCATGAAATGATCAAGTTTTTAGAAAATATAACTTACCAAAACTGATACCATACCAGAAAAATATAAATAAGTTAAAATATAAATAGTAATATAAAATATAAAGAAATTAAATTAGTAATTAAAATCCCTACACAAAGATAGCTCAACTCACATAGCCTCACTGCTTAGTTGTCCCAAACACATAAAGAAAAAAATAATTCAAATCTTGTACAAATTTTCCTAGACAATAAAACCAGAGGATACACACTCCAACTCATTTTATAAGGCTAGCATAAACTGTCCAAAACCCATAGGCATTATAAGAAAGGAAACTTCCAGGCCAATCTCACTCACAAACATCCATGGTAAATTTCCAAACAATATCGCTAACAAATTGAATCCATCAATTTATAAAAATGATAGTATCTCCTGACAAAGTTGATTGTATTTCAGGAGTATAAGATTGGTTTCACACCAGAAAAATCAAGCAAGGCAATTTAGAACATTAATAAAGTATAAAAATTATATATGATCATCATAATAGATGGCAAAAAAAATTTGATAAAATTCAACATTCATTTGACGTTGAAAGTTATGTTTTTAAAACAAACTGAGAAGAGAATTCTCTTAATCTGATAAAGGGAATTTTATCAATCAGAATAAGCTAGTTTATATTATAATAACAGCCAATCTTTAAAATATTAGGGGCTTAAAATAATAAATGACTTAAAACAATAAAGATAAAGATTTCTGATGTGTGCAGCCTGCCTACTGCAGGTTAATGGGCTCTGTTTATTGCAGTTGCTTAAGGATCCAGCCCGATAGATGTTGCTAGTCACAGTCCCAAAGGAAACAGTAGCTCAGAAGGGTCTCTTTTTGGCCAATGAAAAGAAGCTCCATCCTGGAAGTGACACATTTCACTTCTATGCACTACTTGTTGACCAGACCTAGTCCAGCGTTATCCAATCTCAATGGGGCTACAGAGTGCAATCCTATGTGTAAGCCATAATATGATTTAGAACTTCTGGATTCTGTTATGTTCCTCCGAAGAGTGTCAATTCTAATTCTGTCAGACAATTAACCCATTAGACACAAACTCCACACTTTGTCACCCCTGTGGTTGACAACAGCTGAAGGTCTTTCATTTTCAATTTTTTAATCTTCCAGCTTCTGTTCATCATCTGAGTATACTGGATCAAACCCCCCCAGCCCCAGCCCCCATGTGTATAAA